CTGTAAAGAAATCCACTGTTCAGGTCGATCCTCAAAAGTGGGAAGTCCCTAACTTGCCAGTTGTAACTTGCGGTGAGTCCCAGGAAAGAAAACCAATGTTGATTAATATCCCAAAAAATAATGATCCCGATGATAAAAAATTCCCACTTGTTGGCTGAACATAACCCCATCATGTTGCTGGTGATTTCCACCTTTTACCTCTCCCGACTGATTCATCATTGGTTATATACCCATTTAATCCACATTGATAGATGCTTAAAACTTAAACATGCTTAAATATATTTCATCATTGCATCTTTATGTGGTTTGCAATCCCAGAAGCATTTTACGTGTTGGTTATTGATAGTCCATAATGTTCCCATTAGCTTCCCAGGATACCTCCAGCACACCTCTATATTATGCCCACAAAAACCTCCATTGTGGTGTAGTTGGGAAACTAGTAGATCCTTGGCTCCCCCATACAAAATATGGATACCTAAACTAAACGATTAAACGTTTTGCTCCCTAAATTGTTCATGGTAAAACCACCATTTCTAATGTCAACCCCGGATTAATAAACCATGGATTATTAATTAGGGGAGTATTCACTCAATAGTCATGATAAACAATACTTGTTCATGGTACCTTCCCTTCCTTAAACAGCCGTAAACGGGGTTTAGGGTTGACTCCATGGGTGAATTCCCCAGTGCCAAGTCGCAAGGTTTCCCCTGCGCTGTGTTGCCCACTCGCGCGCATCTGCACGCCGCGCTGGACACCGTGCTGCAAGATGGCCTTGAGCTTGTCGGCCGTATCTTGGATCCTGGGCTGATTTTGCCATAGAAATTGGTAATTGACCCATCCCCATATCTTTTATGATACATGGTGCAATACAATATGTATGTATGTATGTATGTATGTATGTACGTATGTACGTATGTACGTATGTACGTATGTACGTATGTACGTATGTACGTATGTACGTATGTACGTATGTACGTATGTACGTATGTACGTATGTACGTATGTACGTATGTAGGTATGTATGTATGTATGTATGTATGTATGTATGTATGTATGTATGTATGTATGTATTTGTAATATATATATATATAAATATTTATGTGTATATATATACACATATGTATATTTAAGATTTGTCTATAATATACATATACTCTTGACGATTGACCATCAGATAAATGAGGGTACCTGATTTCTTGGACAAACCCATACTTGAAGTTGATATAATTCATATTTGGCTGATATGAGGTAAAGATGTGAAACTTGTGATGAACATAAACAGCACGAAGACTGGGACATGATATGAGTTACAAAGCACGCGTCTTCATCATTAGGTGTGTATATACAATATATATATATGATTATATATGTATATATAGGCTCGTCCCAGGTCCTAGAGCTACATACGATGGGGTGGGGGGATGGGGTGGGATGTTAACGTTCATGTGAACTTGCAGATGATGATGATGATGATGATGATGATACTAATGCTGATGATGATGATGTGATGATGACGATGACGATGACAATGACAATGATGATGATGATGATGATGATGGTGATGATGATGATGACGATGACGATGACGATGTGATGATGCTGATGATGATGATGATGATGATGATAATGATGATGACCCTAATGAAACTTGTCAATTCCGCGACGAAATTTCGTCACGGAATTGACAAGTTTTACCAACCTAATTCGGGTTTGCGCAGTTCTAGGACCTGGGACGAGGCTATATATACACAGTATTATACACACATTTTGTCTATATTATGAATGCGTTTACAGGAAAACGGTGGAATCCCAAAAGACCGGCCTTAAATATTCAAGCATTCTGTTGGCATTCCCAACCCCTTCCTGACAGCGCTGAGGTCAGTACTTGGGGTATGATTTAGGGGGTTGAGTACCTTCTCAGACAGTGTTTGGATCAAAAGGGATATTATATCAAGTTAATTATGTACATATACAGTCATCTTGCAGAAGGTGGAATACGGAAACTTCAAAAAAAAACTAAAACTGGAATATCTCGAAAATCTTCAGGATATATTTGTTTGATAAGTGTCCAATTATATATATATATATAAATATTCCCATGATATCTCCCATTGGTTGAATTTATCCTCGGCCCTCTTCCTAAGAAGGTACTTGGATCCATAGGGTATAGTTATGATGTATGATATATGGCTTTATCTGTGAATGGGGCATACCACCTATGGCTATTCAGCAGGAAAAATGATGATAAACCAAGAGATTTGGAGATACCCTCTTGCCCTTATCCATA